CCTATAAGCCCTAAACCTTAAACCCCTAAACCCTAAACCTTAAACCCCTAAACCTTAAATCTTAAACCCCTAAGCCCTAAACCTTAAACCCCTAACCCCTAAACCTTAAACCCCTAAACCCTATAAGCCCTAAACCGAGGATCAGATCCGCGAGGGAGATTGGCACTTCCCTGCCGAGAACCACAAGACTCAGGAGTCTCTCCATAAAGGTTTAGGGTTTTTCGGGTTTATAGGCTTTTTTGGTTTTAGGGTTTAGGGTTTTAGGGTTTAGGGTCCTGGGAGAGAGAGAGAGAGAGAGAGAGGGTTCAGGGTTTAAGGTTTGTAGGGTTCAGGGTTTAGGGTTTTGGGATTTAGGCGGTTTAGGGTGTAGCGTTTAGGATTTTCCAAGGAGTTTAGCGTTGAGGGCAACTTTAGGGCTTTGGGTTCAGAGCTTAGGAGTGGGATTTAGGGTTTCGTTAGGATTTAACGTGTAGGGCTTAGAGCTTAGGGCCTAGATAGTACAGGGCGCAGGGGTTGGAGTTTCTAGCTCTTTGCAGCTGGTGGTTTGGCTGGACTTGCATCCAGTAGCAGGAAATGAGCCGAGAACCACGACGTTCAGGAGACTCTGCGGAGTTTTTAGGGTTGAATACAGGGGTCGGAACAGTTGATGGTACTGTTCCTTGCGGTTCTGTACTCGTAGAATCGGCCCCAAAACTTTATTCACAGCGTTTTCGGTTCTCTATTCGTCTTGGGGTTCAGCCGAATGCCTATACCCTGTACCCCCACAGTCGGAGCCAGCGGCAGCAGAGAGCTATGTAAAGGGGCGAACCCAACATCACGGCCAGGAACCTAACAACACCGGATTTAACCCAACCCCAAGCCATGCAGGTGAAACCGACCCGAGCAAAAGCATTTAGATATTCGGGTTCTCCTGAAAACCTCGCCTGACGTTTTCGAGTGCGAGTGCCAAAAAACCCTGAGCCTCGTCGAACGGCACAGGGACGTTTAAACAAAAAGACCCTTAAACCCTCAACCCTACGCCCTACGCCCTAAACCCTATAAGCCCTAAGCCCTAAACCCTAAACCCGAAAACCCTGTAAACCCTATAAGCCCTCAACCCTAAGCCCCTAACCCTCTCAGGTACCAGGCCTCTGGCCCAACGACCGCTACGTCGACTGCACCGGCCCGGGTCTTCTCTCGAAAGAATCGAGGGCTTGAGCTACATGGGTCCGTTTAGGGTTTATAGGAAGTTTAGGGCTTAGTAATCTGAATTTAGGTCGAAGAGGTGGTTTAGGGTTTAGGGTTTAGTCCTCTACTTTTAGGTCAAAAAAGGTGGTATACAGGTTACATCTTGCTCGTAGAAACCAAACCACGAGCCCAAAAGCCCTGGAGGCCCTCCAGCCTAAATCCTAAAACCTGGCCCTCGGAAATTTGTTTATGACTATAGTCCCATTAACTCCAATGTCCATTGCTACTGCTACTGGGTCTACTTATTGCTTCTGCTGCAGTGCTTCTTACTACCAGTATTCTTGCGATTGTGCTTGCGATTGTAATTATGCCAATCAGACGCCCCGAAGGATCATTGAAAACAGCATTGTGCACCCTTTGGTGACGAATACTATTGCTGTTGTTCTGATATAGCTCAAGAGATCATGAAACATGTTTTTTCTCATCAGGGCAGCGTGACTATTGGCCCGACCCCGAAGCCCTTTTTCTCCTCCGTGCCACAACCCACCGAACAGGCACAGCAACTGGTCTTGCAGTCGGAATCCCTTAGGCCCAGAGCCAGCCCCAAACACACCAACTCTACGCCCTCAGCTCTGCCGCCAGAAAACCCTTCGGGCCCCAAAACCCCTCAAGCCCTAGATCCGAAAGCGGCCACAGCATCTTGAAGACGTATCTCCTACGCCCCTAAACCCAGAACCCCCTAACTCAACAAGCCGTATCGGGCCGACCTGCACCTAGGGAACCTCGCCTGGGCTTGTCCCAGTTGTGAGAGCGTAAATCAACAAACTAGGGTTTAGGGTTTAGGGTTTAGGGTTTAGGCCTTGCAACTTAAAAGCAAAGCAAATCCAAAGGCTCTAAACAACTCGTCGCCAGGTGGCGGGCAGCCCCTTGGGCCTTGGCTGTGCTTATACTCGCCCCAGGAGCCGAGAGGGTTCGGCGAGCTGGCTTCACTTAGGGCCGCTACCGTAGAGTTTATGGTAAGGATGAACACCACCACGAGAGGCGTGTGTTCTCGTCTGCGCCGAGCTTTACCCCGTTCTGGGCTGTTAAGTTGGACTTCGGGCCACTGCTCGAATGGCAAGTCTCCCAAAGTGTTTGGGGTTTGAGGGTGCAATTTAAGCGCATACTGCAAGAGTGGCCGGCCTTATGGTATCCCTACTGTCGCTGAATAGGCCAGAACTGGGAAAACTCTCGACCCGTCTTGTGTTCGTCCGTGCGCAGGACTTGCGTCATGCCTTTGACCTCGCACCTAAGCTTTGCACTTGAGGGCTTGAGGCCACAGGGACCAGGTTTCAAGGCTTCAGGGTTTCAGGCTTTCAGGATTGGAGGCATTCAGGATTGGAGGCTGGTTCTGATGTCTACAGCTAAACGTGTAGTGTTCAGTTCAGAAACGCCAGCTGCTTTTCTGATCTGAGGTTAGGGGTTTGGGGCGGTCAGGGCCACTTCAGGGAAGGTATGTGCAGGAACTGCGACGACTTGCGCAAGAATGTGGTTGCATGCTCTTGCAGAACCGCTACATCTTTCACGACGTACTTGCCCAGCTGCTGCACCCAGCCTCGCTCGAGATGTGTCGACGGCTTCCCTGAATGACCAGTCCAGGTACGAGTGGCCCTCCACGTTGCATGGATGCCTGGATGTGACTCTGGAAGTGGTCCTCGCCTGCTCGGGCACATCCTCAAGCAGGATCCTGTCTTTCGGGACAAGAGCTGCTCGGTGACTGATGAACAGCTTGTACAGTCGTTGAAGTTAAGAGTTCACAATGCAAACACCCGTCGTGATATCAAGATGAGTTTCTCCCTGTCTCTCTTTCTCAGATCGGTAGGTAGATAGGTCGACAGACAGATTCAGATAGAAGAAAGATCGCTAGCCCGACAGATCTCTAGATTGAGAGAGATGTCGGGTCTGTCGAAGCTCCGCGGCTCTGGCTGCGGTTATGGGGTTTTGGTACGGGCTGGGTTCAGGATAGGCGAAGGGCCCAACTCGGCCTTGTAAGTGCTGGTCTGTGTCAGTGTCCAACTCATTATTAATGATACAGCCACTGCCGTTCCTGCCGTCTATATATTTTTTTGCCATCATCAGCGGACAGAGCCCCTTTCACCATTGGCTGGTTCTGGGGGCCAGCATCATCTCTAGTTCTACTGTTGGTTTCAATTTCCATGCTTCCTTTGACGACTTCAGCAACCAGCATCGCCGCCGTGGTCATGACACTATTGATGCATCGTAATCACGCAAAGAAAACTAGTAGTAGCAGGTTGGCAATAGTCACCCTGCCTTGGCTTAGCGAGAGGGAAAAAAGGAAAGTCGTAGTATACGTGCCAGGCTGAAACGGCCATCAGTAGTTTCATCATCATTCTTCAACCTTCCGTTGACATCATGGTCATATTCATCGTCACCGTCCTCCTAGTCGTCAACATCATTACCATCAGCCTGATCATTGCCATGTTGTTCAATGTCACCACCCACTACCATCGGCATCGTCCTCGTCACCGCTGTCACTATCACCATCATCAGCACTATCCTCTCGCTTCCTCATGCGCAACGCCAACATTTCAGCACCATATTACCTCTTCCACCAACACTATCAGCACATCATCAGCTTCAGATCATCAATGCGGTCATGTACACAGGCAGCAGCGGCAACAGCAGCAGCAGCAGCAGCAGCAGCAGCAGCAGCGGCAGCAGCGGCTCCAGCGGCAGTTTTGCTTACAGAATGTTCAACGCCCGTCTCAGTGTATCACCGTCATGTTGACTGTCGTCGTCGCTCGCCAGTCATGGGTACATACAAGTGCTGCTGCTTTCTGGAGATGCATGCACCAGCCGGACCTCCCCAAGCGAACTTCAACAACTCCAACGCTGAGTCCCAACTGTAACTCTTACTGGCTTTGAGGGATGAAGGTTCTGAAATGCCCATGCGCTTCATGGCTTGGTGATGCTTGGTGTTAGGCCTTCAACTCTATCTTCCAGAGCCAACACCCAGGCAAGATCACCTTTCTGGACACGGCGGACTTTGCGCATATCCGGCGATGGCTCTTCTTGCAGGTTCCCGCGAGTCTACCGGATTCCACGCCTGCCCCTTGCTGTGTTGTTTAGGGTTAGAGTTTAGGGTGTAGAATTCCGGCGTCCTAAATTAGGGTCCAGGGCTTCAGGTTTGAGGGTTTAGGGCTAGATTTGAGGGTTGCTGGTTTAGGGTTGAAAGTCTTCTGGGACATTGGGTTTGGATGTTTCGAAGCACCCTGGGCCTTGAGGTCCCAAACCCCATAATGCATTGCAGCGACTGTTTTGGGAGTTTCAACCGTCTGGAACCAAGGCTGCACGCCTTCCACCCCCACGGAGTCATACTTAAACGTGTGCAGACTATCAACAAAGTCAAGAAGACATACGACCAGAAGCTTCGTTGCTGACTCCTCGACAGATTTCAACAACTCCCCCGGAAACCCAGCTAAAACCCGAAACCCTAAACCCTAATAGTTGCTGAGGTACAGCTTCGTGCTTGGGAACCTATCGAGGTCTGCATGCTTTTCAGTGCAGAGGAGGGTGGCAGCAAATCGCACGAGGAGGCGGCGGCGGGGTTTGGGGGGGCTCAGGTTTACATGATGTTCTCTCGGGGTCTTAGGGTTCAGGATTTAGGGTTTAGGGTTTAGGGTTGTTGAAGTTGCGGTATTGACTGTGTTATCTCGACCCTAAACGGATGCTGGGCAGCCTCTGTGCAGTCACCAGCGCCTGGACACAAAATAACCGACAGAGACAATAGAGCTAGAACGAATCAGGTGAGAACAACAACGGGACTAATGCCAGAAAGCCATCAATTGACATGGACATGAGAAGATATTTGAGAAGATATTTGTTGCAACGGTGCAGATTGCAGGTTCACTCAAAGAGCAGTCCATGTCCGGGGAGCGGCAGCAGCAGCAGGAGTAGTAGTTGTAGTAGTCGTCGTCGTGGCAGGAGGAGTAGCAGAAAAAGAAGAATCGCCGTCGTCGTCGCGGTAGTTGTCGTGGTGCTGCTGTCGTAGTCATAGTCATGGTCGTGAATGAGGTCGTCGTTGTCGTGACCGTTGCCGGCAGCCGTATCTTCGCCGATAGTTGACCGGGTTGTAACAACACAATTGACAGACGGTCTGTACTGGGTGTAACCACATGTGTGTAGTGTAGTGTACAAAATGTAGCATATAGTGACAATCATGTATATAAATGTCCCAGGCGGCACATGTGTACTCGCTGCAATAAGATAGCAACGGAACCAGTGCATGTGACAGGAATTGAAAAAACAGCGGAGGAATGACAGTTGCAACCAGCATCGCCATAATCATATCCATCATAATGGCATCAAACCCAGAAGTTCGATGCGGAACCTGCTGTTTTTAGAGCCGGAGAACGGGGAGCCCACCCTACAACCCCAAGCCTTAAACTCTTAACCCCTAAACCCTAAAACCCTACACCCTAAACCCTAAACACCAAAAACCCCTAAAGTCCTAAAGCCCTAAATCTCTTGAAGCTCCAGGCGCTTGTGAAGGCAGACTTCCGGCTCATGCCCGAGGGATCCGTGGCGAAAGTCTTTCCGAAGATCGCCGGGGCTCCACCGCTAGCGGAGCAGGCTGCGGTGCTTTTAGGGTTTTCTGTTTGGGGGTTATATATTTTTTGTTTTTTGGTTCTTAGGGTTTTAGCCATTTCAGGGTTTTATAGGGTTCAGGGCGTGACGTCTCATGCACTTGAGTCCAACTTCGAGTACTCCCAGATCAGTTGCAAACATTGCGGCAGCTGAAGGATC